CACGAGGCAAGCATGAGATAAATCCCAACAGCAGACACCCAGACCACAACTGTTCAGTCATCAAACAAGGAAAACTGGAGAAGCTGTCACAGACCAGTGGAGCCTACAGAACCTACAGCCTAAATGCCATGTGGACCTAAAGACAATTAGAAGATCTATGGGCAAGGTGTGGGAGGGGGGGTTTACACCTGTAATCCCAGGACTCGGGAGGATGAGGCAGAAAGATCACAAGTTTGAGGCCACCTTGGACTGCCTAGTGAAATCTGTCTCAAAAAAAAACACTGCAAGAATACTACGATATATGGAAAACACAACACCTGTTCACAGCAAAAACCTCACAGAACATGGAATGGAAAAGATCCACCGTGGCCTGGGAAAGAGCATCCTAAAGAATGCACAGCTAGCTCACTCTTGCTACTGAAAGACTAGAGGCCTCGCCCACAGATCAAGAGTAAACAAATGCCTCAAAGGAGACCAAACACTGAGGTGAGGCCAGCAAGGCGCACTAGAGGAAAAGTACAGAAACCCAACAAAAAGAAACAGCACTATTAGAAGACAATGCAGTCGTGGACATTTTTTTAAATGCTATAGGACAGCTACTAAATAAGTGACTTGGGGGCTAGGGATGTAGGTCGGGGTAAAGTGCCTCCCTAGCATGTGCCAGGCTATGGCTTCAATTGCACGACTGAAAAAGACCGAAGCGAGTGCAGAAATGACAAGTGCACACCTGGGGACTGACGCATTCACACGAACCCAGGTGAGACAGCCTCTAATCGTACAGCACGCTTACAAGCGTAAGGAATGTCCACAGGAGCTGCGATCCGAAGACCACGGAACGGTGCTAACAGATGAAGATGTACACGCCTGCAGGAGCGCACCGCGCTGGGGAGCCAGGAGCCCACTCCCCTGGAGGGAGCTGGCATCAGCACAGCTGTCTCGGACCTTCCCCTCAGTCTGCAGCCGGCTCCGGCTGGCAGGCTGCATCTCTCCCCACTGGATGGTGTAGCAGTTCCCTAGGTGCCACTGCATGAGCTGTCTTCTTCCTCAGCTCAGTACTCAGCCCTGACACACACAGGGCATCACAGCCAGGTCACCCAAAGGGTGCAGCTGTGCCAGGTATGATGACTGGTCAGAGGAGAAATCATAAAATTCAATGGAAGCAACTGAAACTTAAAATCAGACCTGAGAGCATCAAACAAGTCTGATGTGACTCAGACCAAAGTATATCTCCACACCTTCAGTGGCCTCCATGGAGTCTGGCAGGGAAGAAGCCTATGAAATGCTAGACTTTTGACTGAGAACATCGATGACCCCAAAGTGGAAACATTACACCTGGGGTGCAACAAACATCAAGTGCCCCCCAAAACAGCAAAACAAAAAAGTCTTTCCTCCAAAATCCATCAACATTCTATGCAGGAGGGCCTCTAGGAAGTAAGATAAAGTCAGCCACCAGCACGACAGAGAGGACTTAACTCATTTTACTCCCAATACTCCCAGTCCCTCAGTCCTCTTTAAAGTTAAAACCCCATGGCACTGCCCTAGACCTACAACCACGCAGGTCTAGATTTCCCGCGGCACACTCGCAGGGGGCAAGCAAGCACCCACCCAACAGACCTGAAGTCCACTTCCACTCCCTCGAGTATGACACAGCTGTGGGACAGAGCCCATCCAGGCCCTCTTAGACATTCCACTGCAGGGAGCAGACGCCAGCTTCAGAGAACACGGGCTTTCTTTTTTTTTTCCTCTTTCTATTTAAAGAGTCTCATTCAGGTGCAGAATCTGAAAATCTGGATGTAAAATGCCAACTTTGGTTGGCAGGACTCCACTGCCTCCTGTGTTTGGAGTAAAAGGAACAAGGGGCTCGGCCCTGAGAGCACATGTCAGTCCAGGCCAGCCTTAGTCAGGAACACCAGCAAGCATGGCAGTGTGTATCGGGGAGCAGGTGCATCCTGCGGCATGGTCTCTAGGCAAGCAAGGGTCCTGCAAGGGCAGCTTCTGTGCAATCTCCAGGGGACCTCCTCGCCACCAAAAGCCCCAGGCGACAGAGACCTCCAGCTGCAAGGCCATACTCAGACATCCCGACAAACTCCTCCCAGCAAGCGAGCAACAAGCCCAAGGAATTGTAAGTTATCTAAGAGCACATTATTTGACAACTTCCCTTATTTTAAGTATTTAAGGCTCCAAATATCTCACAGAATTATCGACTTACTCAAAATGTTAACCAGGTTCTGGCCATTTGTGAAGACTATGATATGCTGTCCCGCCCCACCTTTTACATATGCAATTCCCACTCACTTGTAGGTCTACACGTGAGTGGCAGCTACTTTCAGGGCACTACATTTCACCGATACCCTGGAATGACACTCTTAACCTTCACTCCTCCCTAAAATTTCTAGACAGCAGCTCTCCAGCGAGTATGGGCATGGTCCCCACCAGAATGGCATCAAAGCAATAGAGCGGACCCATGTTGTCATCTCCGTATCTTCCTTTTGAAGATGAGGAATGTGGTGCTGCAGTCGGCTGGGGGCTGGGGGCTGGGGGCTGGGCCAAGCGTCCAGCAGGTGGCTGACCGTGACGCCCAGAGACACGCACTCCCTGCACACCTCCAACGCTGAGATTTCCCCAGCAGGAGGAAGGCCTGTCCACACGCAAGCACATCGCAGCCGGGGACTGAGGAAGCTGTCAGAGCACACAGGTTCTCAGCACAGAAGCATGGTCATCAGCCTCTTCTAGCCCTGTGAACAGGGTGCTCAGTGCAGGTGCTCCAGGGCAGGGACATGGTAAGAGACACCTCCGGAGCCCGGTAAACACAGGCCGAGCAGGCCGACACATTCCTTGCCTAACAAAAAGCCTTTCCAAGCAGTTGCCTGAGCAGAGCATGGGCTTTCTACTCTTGGAACCTGCACAGTCCACTCAACCTTCACACACAAAAAAATTTCAGCATAGATTTAACATGTCTTGGCCTTCCCAGAAACTCAACTATTGCATCAGTGTAGGAAAACTATACTCTGCTTTCTTCAAAACTTCGTAAGAACTGCTCCCGTTCTCTACCATCCCACCAGCAGCCAGTGCCTGAAACCTAAGTGTAAAGGCTACAAGCCACGCCGGGACACCCCATGTGAGGCAGGGCCCAGGGCTGAGCCTCCGCTGGGCCCTTGTGGGTGGAAGTATGCCCTATTCCACGAGGCTCTACTGTCCGTGGCCTGCTCCTGTTGTGAATCATACTCCTAAACACCGCATCTTAGGGTAAGCAGGCCTTCGAAACAAAACTCCTCTTTTACAACAAGGCTCTGGGTCAGCTGGCTTGGGAGCCTGACAGAGGGTGTCAGCAGAGAGCAGCCCGACAAGTGTCTATGGAGCAAACACGTGGGAAGCCGTGCGACACACAGCAGAAGGGTGCAGGCCCACCGCCTGTCAGCCACGGGTACGGCCCCATGTCCTCGTGGGAACTGAGATGCCGAGATTGCGCCAACGCCTGCTGGAGGGGGCAGGCAGGGGCCAGGCGGGCTGCAAATACCAGGGCCCTTGTGGAGCTGAGGCGGCACTGTGAATTACGCCAGCACAGCAGGTGGCGTCAGGAGCTATCTCAGACAAAGCAGGACAGATGGCCACCCTGTCATGTGGACATGCCAAGACCAACCAAAGCAAAGGGGCCTTCCTCTCCCTTCACAGATCCTCTTCAAGTCCATCAAGTGCCTCACGCTGATCTGGCCTGCAGAACACATGGGCTGGGTGGCACCCAGCAGCCACCACAAACACTGGCAGCCGCCCGACCACGCCTCCCTAACTTGGGTGTATCTGCCCAGCAGGACGGTCCTGTACCACGACCAGCAATCTGCATACAACCAAAAGCATGTGAGCAACAAACATGAGTGTGCAAGGCAGGCACGTGCACAGTACTCCGGGTCACTCCCTGTGCGTGGCCGGGCCAGCCACACTTGAGTCCACAGAGTAAGCACTGTGCGTCTTTGACAGGTTATAAAATTATCAGTGAATCCACACCTAAGCTAGGCAATCCTCTTCACAATAAAAGAGGAGTACGGCAGCAAGGCCTCGCAGGCCCCCGGGTGTGCTGTGGCTCTCACTGCCATTCCACCCTCCTCCAGGAGACAGCCTTCAGCAAAAAGGCTTCAAGAGCGCATCAAGTACAAGGCACATTTTAAGCCCCTGCCACAAATGTGACTTCTCCGTAGCTGGTTGTGGGAAAGGATAAAATGCCACAGGACTCGTAATCACTGCCACCCAGAGCCCGAGTGCGTCTCAAGACATGCTCCCTTGGCCTAGCCTTGGCAAACCTCTTAGAGACGAGGGCCCAAACTGTAACCCCAAACCCAATGATGTATCACAAAGTGCTAACACTGGGACTAAACTTGAATAGTGAGGTTTTAGTTTGGAAAAATCAACCGTTCTCCAATGCTCGGCCGCTGGGGTGACCCGGCTCGTGTGCTGACAGAGAGGGTTCTGCATGCCTGCTGCAGCACGAGTGCCATGGGTTCCCACCACTGCTCTACCGGTACAGAAAAGGCCGAAGGCTTTCTGGAACATCTTTCCAGTCTAACTAAACTGTTCACCAAGCTGCATTTCCAACGGTACATCAACTACTGTGCAGATACTCTCTAAGAGGAGACTGGGAATATTTTTTTAGATAGACATAATGAAAGCTATAGACTTGAATGGAAAGTCTGGTATGTTCCAGTGAAATTTGTAAACATCACATTTGAAGAAAAATATCTAAAGACCAGCCAGAGAGGGGTGGAAAAGGCAAAGAAGCAAATGCTATCTGAGAAGATCCAGTGGCTAGGAGCATAGGCAAGAGGCAGTCTGGCTTCCATCAAAGAGGAAAGTGGGGACAAGCTCAGGACGCTCCAGGTGGAGCCCCTGTTTGATTCGGGTCGCACTGTACCCAACACCTACAGCAGCTCGAGTGACAGTGAGGGTCTGGGCCAGGATCTGAGTGCCGTTCCCACGGTGGCTTCCCAGAGCTCTGCTCCTGTCCTTACCATCGCACTTTGTTGCAGGTCTGGGTGGCACCGAGTGGGGAGCCCGCCACCATGGGGACCTGGATGGGGCTGTGCTGCTTGTTGGTGACCAGGTCCAGCTTCTCTTCAAGGGACTTGCACGTTGCCTCCAGAGCCTGCAGCTTGGCCTCAATGCTATCCAACCGTAAGCATATCGTCTGGTTAATGGAGTACAGGAAAGACTGGAAGGGAGACAGGGACAAGCTTCAGAAAGGACCTCCTGAGCAGTGAGGCGACGATTCCAAGCCGCCCGACCACGCCTCCCTAACTTGGGTGTATCTGCCCAGCAGGACGGTCCTGTACCACGGCCAGCAATCTGCATACAACCAAAAGCATGTGAGCAACAAACATGAGTGTGCAAGGCAGGCACGTGCACAGTACTCCGGGTCACTCCCTGTGCGTGGCCGGGCCAGCCACACTTGAGTCCACAGAGTAAGCACTGTGCGTCTTTGACAGGTTATAAAATTATCAGTGAATCCACACCTAAGCTAGGCAATCCTCTTCACAATAAAAGAGGAGTACGGCTAACATCTGAACAGCCCAAAACCCACAAGCCCTGCACATCTGCACCACGCAGGCTCTCCAGGCTGACTTCCCAGGCTGGCTTAGCTCTGCAGTCCAGCATGCCCTGGGCAAGGCAAGCTCTGAATAACTAGCCTGCCACCCAGTGGCCGGCAGAGGCACAGCCCTGTCCCACCACAGCTGGGTCCAGGCCTTAGGAGCCACTTGGGTGGGCAGTACTGTGCAGGGCTCCAAACCCAAGAAGGGATTTAGCACACAGCCAGGCAGGAGGGGGCTTCCCCTCCCCATGGGCCACTCCTGCTGGGGCCACCAGGGACACACATTAAATCACGTAAGGCCTCCCCAAGAGCCGCTCCTGCCAGGGCCACAAGTGCAGGTAAGACACATTCACAAGGGAATCTCCAGGCAGAACAAGGAGGGTCCTGCTGCACCAAGCTGGGGCTGCAGGCAGTGGCCCTCATCCCTGCTGTTAAGGCCTTGAGACTTTCTGGCATCCAGCCAGAGGCACTGAGGCGCCCAAGACTACTCCAGGGACGGAAGCCATCTGGGTGTCACAAGGTCCACACTGGGACTATTCTCGCCCTGAGTTTGCAATTCACTGCGATGCAGTCCACACCATAGCTGAATCTGGTCAGTACTCTAATATGGGAGTGGATTTTCTAACCCTGTACACCCTGGGTAATTCGCTTCTCTGCCCAATGCAGACACAACCCCTGCCCATCCATGGTGAGTATCTGCGGGGTCAGCTGTGAGGAGTGGGGCCTGCTGTCCCTTCACTGGGCATTTGGGAAAGCTTCCTGGGGGCATATTTGTTAACTTGGTCGCTTCTGGGAAAAGACTGTTCCATGTAATCCATGCTATCTTAGAGTGCTTTTAACCTTTGGAAAAAAGTTAGCTTGTTTTGTGTATATGAACTGCTTTTTATTATTAAATGAATAAATCCCACATGACCCACCAAAAGAAAAAAAAGGATCTACTGTGCAGTAGAGGTCCCAACACCAAGCTGGTGCTGCCTGGGGGCAGGTGGTGGGACAGCAGGTGGCCTGTGTGGCTGCAAGGCTGGCACGGCACATGTCACCACCTAAAGATATGCACGCTCTCAAGGACTCGTGCTTGGGCTCTTCCCTCTCCTCTCCTGCCATGGACATGTCAGAAGGTGGGAGGCATTTTCAAGCAGAGACCAGGGACCTCAGAGCCCATCCAGCCCAAGGGGTTGCACACCATGAAGAGAACTGCAGCGGCAGCACACACCCCGTTGCGTGCCTGGCATCAAGCCCAGCTGCCCAGGTGCAGAGCGCCGTCAGCAGGCCGCCCTGAAGAACCCACACCCTCTGCCCTATGCCCTGGCACGCAGCTGTCAGGAGCAGTGCTGTCCACACTTCCCAGCTGCCTCGGCCTTCGCTTCCCCTGACGAGTCACAAAGGGTGAGCTGCCGCACAGGGGCCACAGAACCGGTTACCTGCCTGAGCACAAGGTGGAGCAGTGCGCAGAAACCACCACCAGGCATCAGGGCCACCCAGCCCTGTGGCCACCGGCCTCAGCCATGGCTGAGCTGCACAGGAGGTGTTGAAGGCCCGGCAGACAGATTCCCCAGGGCCTGACTGTGGCTGATCCCTGGGGTGCAGCCACAGCAGCCCCACAGTGCTTCACCTCTGCAGACATCACATCTGCCTCCTGAGCTCTTTCCACATAGCACAAGTATATCCAAGCTGAGTAAGAAATGATTCTGCCTGGGCTCTGGGAGAAAATCACTCTTACCTACTTACAAAACCAACTCCTGAACAGATCAACACTGAAGAAAGGGTGGGGGTGGTATTTTTAAAGGAGTCTCTCACGCTCAAGGGGGAGTGACCACGAACAGGTTAAGCAGTCTTGCACGTGGCACACAAGCACTACTGCCAAGCCACGTGAGACTGCGGGTGTGGCCGTCCCCAGCCTGTCCAGGGTGTTGCCAAAGCTGAAGCAGCTACTTTCCTGTCTACTTTCTACCTTTCCATGTTGTTCACTATGAATGCGTCTTTCGTGATAAAATGATAACCCCATTTTATCTTAAAATGTGATCATGCAGAGTTCCTGTGAGTATACTGTTAAATCGTCCACTGAAGCTTACACCTCTTTCTCCTTGCTAACAAAACAAACTGCACACTGCTAAACAGATGTCCAGGATAAACAGGCAGTATATGAAAAGTGACAGCTCGGGCCGCGATTTAGCTCAGCAGTTCTGCTGCCTGCCTTGCAAGCGCAAGGACCCGAGTTCAATCTCCAGTACCAAAAAAAAAAAACAAACTGGGAAAAGTGACAGCTCTATTCACACTGGTCTCAAAAACGACTCTCACATGCTGTAATTACCTCTTACTCTGTAGGCACTGGAACCAAACAAGCAATTGTCTAAAGAGAGGTCTGAGAATTCCAGCTAGCGAACTTCAGGGTCTGGAGCTCAGGTGACAGGCAAGAAGGAATCTGACACCCAGCAACACAGCCAGTGACTTTCACTTCCCACCCACCCAAGGCAGCCTCTGGGCCCAAGGGAGACAGCGGAGCAAGCCAACCACGCTCATTCCTCATCCTTCAGAGGAGGAAGGCCTTGGCTCCTCTACAGTGGGGTGAGTGGCGACCCCAGAACCACAGGGTGGCACGTCGGAAGTCCCTGCAGTGCTGTGAGCAAGTGCACCCTGGTCTGGACACAACTGGAAGTGACCTAGAACACCTGCAGCCACCGGCAGCTGAGAGGCCAAGAAGGACCTGCCCCGCGGCCTCAAGGACAGCAGCCTTGTCCACTCCTTTCCCCTGGACTTCTGGCCTCCAGAGCTGGGAGAGAATAAACTTCAGCTGCTCCAGGCTTCCCCGGACATGGGGGAAAACTTGGTATGGTACACATAAACATAACCTTATTTTCACCTTTATGGAGGGATCCTGGCAATTGATTTCTAGTCTCTGGCGTTTCAAAGTAGGCTCGTCTTCATCTGTTACTACATGATTCTCCAGAACAACTGAAAATCAATCAGAGACAAATGATTACACACAGGAAGTTCCACAAACTCTTCTAACATAAAGACAGCAAACATAAGCTGATGGTGGCACACACCTGCAATCCCAGCACTCGGGAGGCTGAGGCAGGAGGATCGCTGTGAGTTCGAGACCAAACCTGGGCTACATAGTGAGTTCCACATCAGTCTCAACTACATAGTGAGACCCTGTCTCAAAAAAACCCAAAAGAAGGGGCCGGGGATTTAGCTCAGCGGTTTGGTGGCCTGCCTTGCAAGCGCAAGGACCAGAGTTCAATCCCCGGTA